AAGATGCAAACTGCAACACGGACATCAGTGTTTAGCTAGAACCATTTTAGTGCCAGGTCAATTTTTGGATTGCGAAGCGTAGCAAGCGCAGTGAGTGGAGCTCTCACAGCTCATAGCCGGACTGGATTTGTGCCCTCTATTGATACCTCTGTTCGGCTGGTCTTGAGCCAAGACTACGAACACGTGCACGCTGCCTTAGGGGAGGCTACATGTACATTATATCCAATTATTTCACCTCTGGGTCTCGTAACATGCTAGCTACATGTATATGTTCTCAACACTTTCTGATGCTTGAAATACCGGTACGGTCAAATTGGTGCATTTTCAGCAATATTTCAGTTCATTTTTGTGAAATCTGTGCTAGGCGGCACAGCCAATTTGAACCCGAGAGCCTGGCGGAAATTTGCAGTACCGGGTGGTGCTGCTTGGTGCCTAGCTCGGTGGCTAGAACACTGATGGAGGTATTGCCAACAATGGAGACAAATGCAAACCAGCCTGCGAACGATCGGCAAAGTTGAGCCAGGTTCAACTTTGCTGACTGTCTGCGTCGAGTAGCCGTGATATTCCCGTATAAACATGCAAGCTGGCATGACCAGCGTGCAACGATGTCTCTCTCTCTTAGCTCTGCGAATTTTGTGCATTTTCTCCTTAATGCTTAAATATTACACCCTTATGATCAACTAAATTGTTGACCATCAACGAAATGCATTAAACTGGTAGTTACATGTACATAAGAGACACCTCGCAACAATACACTGTTCTCAGTGGATAAGAAGGGCACAAAGAAACCAGTCCATTCCAGAGACAGCAGTGGTTTCTCTGTACATGTAAGCAAAAGCTTGCCCCGAATCAGTATAGCAACAGTGTCTTTAGTCTGGGGAATTCAAATTGTTATGTTTATGTGCAATCAGACAACACAGTGTACCAGATTTTATTCAAATTTAACTTGCAAATGGCTTATTTTTGGGTGGAATGGTGTCATGCACCATCCCGTCTGTTGGTGTCTGCGGTGTCTTCACTTTTTGCAGACCGTCTGTGTTACAAACAACCATATGGAAACCAGGCTTAACAGCCACTGACAGAGATTCCAATTTTCACTTAAGTGCTTATATTTAAGAGCTCTACAGTTAATATCTACTTTGTTATTGGAGTAAGAAAGTCCTTTTTCTCTCAGAGTCTGTACATTCTCAGTAATGTTCATACCTTTGCAGGATAAATGTATCTTTCAGGCAAACATCGTTTGTGCGGAGGTAGTAATGTCAAGTTCATATCTATCAGTATTGTCCCTTCTTTTGCATGTATACCTCCATATGACTGTTTATTTTTAGCCAAAGCTGCCTCACCAGTTCTGAGTATGATCTGACTCATTCATCAGCCATTGGTCAAAGTACAGCACACCAAGTTGTGGCATGAAGTTGGGCAAATGACTCTGGTGCTAAACATACTTTCCTGTCAACGGGAAGTTCAGCAAACCACTGGAAAGTAGTAGTCACGCGTTTGGTTGTTTATGGAGTTCTATATTTGAAAGTGGGAATCTCAACAGGCAGCCTTAAAAGTACCGGTAATCATAGAAAATCTTGCACAAGGCCATGAGTAAATGGTTCTGGAATTTGATAAGTTTTATCTTACTTGCTTTAAATCTGTGTCAACTTCATAAAATCACTTTTACATGCATGTAGTAGCACTGAGTACAGGTATATAAATTGACAGGTTCAAAGATGTTCATTCCTTCAGATGTACATTAATTTCTACACAAGTTTTCTTTCATGAGACCAACATACAGTGTACCTGTACATGTATGTACATGTACATGCATGTTTGTAACCCTCCAACTTAGTACTTGGCAAGAGTTCTGTGTAGATGGGATTAATCTTCACTATGTTTCAGAACCTAAACTCATGCAAAGCACTGTTTTGTGCTCAGAAAAAATGAGAATTTATGGACATACATGTACTTATTTGCGTCACTTGTGTGCCATATTTACATTGCATTGGAATGGAAAGTTAACAATATGGGATATGCATTTTAACCATTCACATTTCACAAGGCGTGAAAACATTCTCCCAGTTTATGTGAAAAGGTGGGAAAATGCTTTTGCACTGTGGGAAATTGTTTGCATGTTTTATGAAATGAAAATGAATTCCTTGGGAAGAGAAAAAGTGCAAAAAGAACTTTTATTCCCACTTGAGAATGACTGTCAATACATACCATACTGTGGTACGAAACCACCATAAAGCTACATGTACATGTATTGTCTGGCAACTTCAGCCTCAGTTCGGAACGGCGCTAAGTCCTGTGCACTGTTGCTATTCTGTAATTATCCATTTCCTTACGTGTTCATCCATTGTCATGTGTTTTCATGTCTCATCTGTTCCTTCATATTCTCACATCTTGTAGGAACCAGCAGTATGAGTGATACATCCAGAGGGGCATGGTTGTATTGGAATCCTGTGTGGAGAGGTATAGAATTGGCATGCCAGACAGTATTTACATGAACAAAATGAATTGCAGCTTTCCTTTGCATGTGTGCCAAGTAGAGGGTTTTTGAGCATCCCTTGGCTGCTAGGTTTAGAGCTGATACATGTATGTTCCATCCTTGTGGCCCTGAATAATTTCTTTCACTCATTGTGAGTTTTGTTTTTTGCCTCACAAGGTGAAAAAAATAATAAAGGGACAGATATTTGCCTCAAGGCCTCATGAGGCAGAAAATAACAAAAACTGATTGCATATACATGTACATGTATGATGAGTTACAGTATATGTATGCACATGCTGAGCAAATGGCTATGAATAGCTTTTTGCAGAAATTTATGCAGATGTACATGTATGCAATGAAAGCACTAGCATTTGTGAAAGCAAGTGGTGGAACTTGGCGTTGTCAGACATCTCAGAAAAAGAGCTTATTATTCATGCATACTGTACATAAGATCCAATACATACAGTGTTTTTTTTTTAATTTTCATTAGAAAAGGAAGATATATGTTCATGTACAATGTACATGTTTAGGCCCTTAGGCTTAACCACTCCCCTTTGTGAAAATTGACATGTACATGTACAATTATACATGAGCACAGTGAGCACAGATGATGAAGAACATATTAAATACATCATTTGTACACAGTTACACACAATGTACATGTACATGTCTATGTAAGGTACAGGCACCAGTATTTCACACCATCATGAACTGTACTGCTTTACTGCTTGGTACATGTACATGTACATATTGCATGTGCATGGTATACAGTGTAACAGAATACTATGCATACATGTAGCACATGTACAGGAGTATGTGTACCTATACATGTTCACTACAACCACTACCAAACTTGTGTGTACATACATGTACATAGTATGCATTTTGCTGTACCTTGGCAGTCCTCAATTCTCCTATTTTTTATGATTTTTCACACATCCTGTGAGGTTTCTATTGTTTTGTAGTGTGCGTTTGTGATGGAAACCATAGCACTTCAGGAATGTGTTCTGGGTGCATGAAGATATGCTAATGTATGTTTCACTCAGTGATTGCAAGAACTTGCTTGAAAGCCACTATTGGATTCCACAATGAGACCTCCCATTGTGATATGATAGAATGCATAGAATGTGATAAGGGTGTGGGCTTAACAATGGAATTAAGACCACATCCCAAGTCCAGATTAACTTTAGACACCAGTTACAGTACATGTACAGTATTTAGAATTGAAAGTCACATACGGTACCATATACATGTACATGTATTTTTATCCAAGTGTAATGAAGAAATACATGTAATGGTACATGTACATGTATGATATGTGCTTTTCTGCGCATACATGTACATGTATACTTTTGGGTGTATTTGTTTTCGAGAAAGGGACTATGCTTTGTGAACTCAAAGCTCTCCTTATTCCTCAGTCCATTTCTAGCTTGGAGGTTTCGCAAAATATGAAGCACACATACACATAATGGTATCCATAGTCTCCATACTGGGAGATGGGAACATGTAGCACTAGAAACAGTTATGTGCATGTGAATTTGTTTCTGCATTCAATTGGGGACCCTGAACAATAGAGGACAATAAGGTCCCCAATTGACAGAGGGTCCCCGATTGACAACTGTGTACAAAACATATGGGGGGTTTTCTAAAAAGTAAAAGTACAAACAAAAGGGGAACAATACGGGGTCCCCAGTTGCAGGTAAATACACACTTGTGGGAGTGGGCAGGCCTTCATGACCGTCATGGGGGACGCTTTCTTTTGTTTGGGAAATGAAAATTGAGATGTGGGGGACATTACTTTGTCCCAACAACACTTTCTGTCCCCACAAAGGTGAAATGACGAGTTCGACATACATGTATGTGCACACATTCTTGTATGCATTCCAGATACATGCAGTACATCAATCATAGTTTAGCATATCCATGATGAAACCAAAGGGATTGTTTCCCATCGGAATGCTCGGTGCAGTCATTTTCAAATTTACTGGTAGTTTCTGATATCTCTGGCTGCCAAACACAGTGTGATATACATGTACTTATTCTTAAGTTCTACTTGTACATATACATGTTGTAATTTACATGTAAATGCACATGCACTACATACATGTTGATTTTGAGATTTGAACAGTACATGTGATGCTTTGATCTTTCTCCTTGGATTCATCCAAGGGAGAAAGATTCCGCTAGGTGTGAAACGACAGGCCCTCTAACTTGTTCAATGCATTCAAGTACCCATTTGAAAAAGAGAAACTTTTGCTTCAGTGGTTATTCAGAAAGTTGTACGGTTCAGACAGTGTCATGAAGCATTTGTAGTGAAATTTGCTGAAGTTGAGAGGCATTCAACCTTTGCTCATTTACAGCACAATATGACCGTTATTACATGTACATGTATGTTACACTACATGTAGATTACTTCTGGGCCAAAGTAAACACATTAGCACACATTTACAGGTACAGGCATGATGAGTACAGACAGGGTATGGTGCTGATGTAATTTTCATCTTGTCCTTTAATGCCCTTGCAGACTGCAAGTATACATGTCACTACAAGTGCCTGAATGAGGTGAGACTTGATTGCACTGAGTCACCTGTCTTCAAGGAAGCTCAGTCAGAATCACCACAGCACACCATTGTTGCCATTGAGGTAAGTGACATGTACCTGGTAAAAAGTCCTGTCCATTAACTACGTACTTAAATATGTACATGTAATATGGTATAATACTCATGTTAATATAGTGCATGGTTTAGATGATTCAGACCATGAATGCTTACATTTGTTAGGAAGGAAGCTTTCATCTGTCATCCATTCCTTTTTTATCACAAATTTTATCTGTATGCACAGTGTACTGGTACATGCTATCTTCAAGTGGAAGACTGCCTAGAATACATGTGTACACATGTATATACCGGTATATGAAAATGACTCATCTTAATGGGATAGCCCTTGTGCAAGGTGCTTTGAATGCTGAAAAGAGAAATACATAATTGCGTACATATGCCAGTAGTGTAATTCCACCATCTGGATTTTTTAGATCAAATATCTGACTTTAAATGTTTCAGTGCCAAACGTGGCCAGAAATTTTTAATAGAGCACACTTCCCCAAAGGGGAAAAATACTCTTTTTAGTTTAAATGATTAAAAAGATCATCTTGAAAGTTTGTAAAAAGAATCTTTTTACAAACTTTGTGTAAGACTAAAAAAAGAGGTTGGAGAAATACGGTATATTGTTTTCTTCCCTACCAGTACCCGTACTTACATGGTTGTACATGCACGCGTACCTAAATTTGGCAGGATGTTATAGTGTTAACACATTTTGTTAACTTGATGACTAAATGATGGCTACATGATGTAATGTGAGGGTGTGATGATATTACATAGATACTACATGTAGCATCGTGTAAGTTAACTTAGTTCTTTTTTTTGTTTTGTAAACAGAGGGAGATAATGTCAGATGAAACACTTCAGGGTTTCTTTAGATGGTGTATATTGCATTGGATCATTACAAACAGCTGTAGAGGGCTGCAGTATATTTGCACATATTATTAGATACTGAATTCGGTTTCTTTGGGTCCAACCTTAAATTCCTGAATGTCCAAATCTTGCTGTCCTTCAAAGGGTCACTTCAACTTGCAAGTTAGTAGTGCCATTGGGGAGAAGGCAGGAATAAGATACACATACATGTACCGGTATGTATGAAACTTACAGTGTGTTAAATAGTGCCTTGCCTTCTGGTTTGCTTAGAATGGTGTTGAGGACACTAGTTCACTGACTGGGTTATCCAGAGAGGAACTCATGTGGAGAATTGAAGAGTTCAACAGGAAGGCAGATATGTACCCGATCAAACTGGTAAGGTGGTATTTTAAGTGATTTGGGGATACTCATGAACTATTCATGTGTACCTTGTTACACAGGACCTTCCACAAAGTGAAAGTTGGGGCACATGTTGTGGCAACTGGATACATTTTGTGGATGGCTATAAGGGTCTTTCTGAGTGACTGAACTGTTACTTGTAATGTTGATTGCATCTCATCCAATTATATGAGAATTTGTAAGTTATTCAGTATATTTTCTTGAAGAAAAACTGGTTTCATGTGGCCACCAAACCATTTTTGTCCGTTTTGGTGATGAATTTAGATTTTTTGAAGCAGTTTCCCCACACAGTGAACAGCAGGGAACATAACACACCATTCTTACTATTAACATGTAGGTGAGAAGTGTAATGTGAAGTCAGGGAGTTATTCACCCAGAACTGACAATAGAAACCTAATATCAAAATGTATGAAAGGCTTGGTTTGAGATACAGGTGTGAAAACAGCTACCCACAGTTACTTCACAACTTCATAGACTTTACCTAAACTTTCCTTTAACCCTAACCCCCAGGCTCCTGCACTAGACAGCATACTGAACCTCACAGAATCCATCAGGTTCATGTACTTGTCTGTGTACTTGTACATGCAGGTTACTGTACCAAACCTGATAAACTCCAACAGAATGAGCCCGTTGAAATTTGAGAGATATGGTATGGATGGGTCTATGCAGTATAGGATGACTTGCACTGAACAATACCAAACCGGACAAAATCTAGCATAGTCCCACAATTGGTACAGCAAGCCAGACACTGCACACAGTGACCCGTGTGTGTCCCAACTCACACAGAATCCAACACCATCTTCCTGGGCCATTCATCCCAAGTCTCACAAAATTCAACTAAGAAGTTCATCAGGTGTGGTACCAAACCTGCCCCAAACCTCACAAAACCTGCTGTTGGAATATGGCAGGTTTGCGGTAGTTAGGGTTAACTACTGTACCATACATGTACTCATACATGTACACGTAGTCCCAGTCTGCCATTATGGCTAGGGAGTGGGTAAGCATTGTGTGTTGCATTGTATCTAGAACCACTGCATCAAGTACTGAACATATTAGTAAATTAATTTTGCTAATTTCTCGTCTTACATGTATGTTCACAGGAGAGTGACAGCTTAATATTTGTGGGTAGCATCCGAATATATATGAACCTCTCTCGACCGATCAGCATTCCCAGTGGTTCTCCACTCCCCAAGGCGTGCAGTACGCTGCGCCCCTATGACCACAGCGTGGACCACAGCAAGAGACGGACGTCCTTCTTTCTTCCCAAAAATACCTATGAGGTGAGGACAAAAGCCTTACCACTGTAATGTTACCGTATGTCTCTCTTTATGTCAAGTGCTTTCCTTGTGAATGAGATTTGTGTATGAGAGCATATAAACATTGATCTCTTCCTTGAAGATGTACTGTTTCCAGTGTGAACATAAATTTCTTCCATGACAATGTGTTGGTTCTTAGAGAACCTATCCTCTGTCCTCAGGAGACGTTTTTTTGCTGGAAAAATTGATGTTCACATAGTGTCATCTGTTTGAATACTTTCCATCATTTAAAACTGCATACTAATTTGTTGACATATATGTACCTTTCAACTTTGACATAGATTGGATGTCATTGAGATTTTCAGCTTATGTCTGACCAGGATTAGTTTAGAAACAAAATGCAGCCCACTGCAAATTAACAAGACACCATCCGTGTTTGCCAGTATTTGTGACAACACACATACATTGACAATTGAATTTGAAACAATAGTGGTAAAAAATTCTTTTCAAAGAAAGCAAAGGAGCACATGGAGGATTTATTAACCAGTAGCATGCATGCCCACTTTGCAAAGGAAATACATGTAGATCCAGAAAAACACATGTACGGTGCATGTATGTACATGTACATGCATTGACAGTACACGAACCCAAATGAGGCAGTCAACTCACAGGAAGTTGGCACTGGTTCAGAAATTCAACCTCCAGGATATGGTTACTTCACTCCTGATTTCCTTTCTAATTTTTCCGTTTGATAGTATTCAGCAGCAGGGCCTGCTGGGGCTGATAATAGTCGGTGATGTGATCCAGTCCCTTTGTTGTTTTCTGCATGTGGCATTTTTCAAATTTAAAAATAAATGCCAGCTTTCATTAGTCAAGGACGGGCAGGAATGTTTTTCAGGAGAGTTTGACATTAGACTCGGCCTTCAGTTTGGCAATATGAGTAGTCTTTTCCTTCTGAAAGTGTGTCCTTGTACATGAATGCATATGCATATGTATCTCTTCAACATGCACGTATCCCTGTTTACTATACATGTATGTGCACTGACCTGTACACGTACCCGTGTATCTATTTCCCAGTGCATTATTTAATTTTTGTCCCCGTGTACATGTATGTACTGGTACTTGTACATATACATTTAAATTTGTTCATGACACTTTCTGTGTGTGCATTGCATGCACACAAATAAGGCACATACGTTCCAGTAAAGAAGAGAGTAACAGCCCTTAAAGATAGCCTTGAATATTGGGGTTTTAGGAAATAAGGACATAGTCCTGGGCATTTAGACAACATGTTTTTATTTCTGGGAGTTGTAAAGCCATACGATGTACTGTTTTGAAGATGGCTTGACCTACTGTTCAGTGTACATGTATTGCGTGGTCTCTCTGAAGTAAGTTTCAGTTGACAAAACGCACTATCCTGGTTGAAAACACAATGGATGTCTTGCTGAAAATTATTGGTAGAGGGAAGTATAAAGAGTACTTAATCACTTTATTCTTCCAATTCCAGCTCTGTGCTTGGCCCAGAAAACAACAGTTCAAAATTTAGATTTGACTTTCTCAAAATGCAACCTGCAGTTAGCATGGTACTGCAGTTTTGGCCATTAAGGGGACAGTGACCTGTCTCTACATACTGGTGTTACAATGTACATGTACTATATGTACATGTATGCAGACTAAACAATAGTTTCAATGGATGACATTAAAGTTCATGTACTTCCACTTTCTTTCTGTCTACTTCACTGTACTTGGTTTTGTTTGTAATCAGAAGAGATTTTATCATAAAGTTGCTGTGTCAGGACAAAATATTTTGAAGTGTAATGTTTACCGTTTACTCCCAACACCAAAACTAAAGATACAGATGTTCCCAGTGATACTTTTGTCAGACTCAGAGTACATACCATACTTGTCAGGCTTACAAAGTGTTTTTGGTGTAAGTACATCAAAGGATGTACGGTCGCGTAAATTGTACTGGTATGCTTTTATCATTGTTGGCCTGCATGTACATTTAGATGGGTGAACGTATATATGTACTTGTTCTATAGTTGTAGGGACAAGCACTCGTCATTAAACCATTTTGGTTGGGATGGAAAGCTTGGGGACAGAGAAATGTCCCCACAACTCGCCTCACCGAAGAAATTGTCCCCTTATCTCGATGAGTTCCTGCCCACTTGTCCCCATGTCATGGATATGCGTGCACAAGAGTAAAAAGGCCCCTGTATGTAGTTTCTCTTCTCTTCTCAAGTTGTGGATGTTTATCTCTCATGCTCTCCACCTGTTCCTCTCATTACTTCAACTTGTTCTCTTTGTCCTTGGCATCTGTCTTGCATACAGGATATTCAGATAGCGAGTGAGTCCACCGCCATTCAGGTCATCCAAGGCGTTCTGAGTCACATTGAAGTCATAGACAACTGCCGCAAGTTTGCTCTCTTTGAGCGCTCAGATGAAAATGGTGAAGGTAGGCATGGGGTCTTGCTGTAACGTTACCCCACAATATGCGCTGTGTTTTTTTGCTGCCCATTAAACCTGGTTTTACCTCAGTCTGCTGTAATGCTGCCTTCCATGATTCCCAAAGTGTCTTCCAGTTATGGAGATACTGACACAGAGAAGCATTTTGTCAGCAATTTGTTGGAGGCATGTACATTTTAAAGGCCCAAATCTTACAAGAAAATGCACTCACTCATATCAAAATCCTAAGCCACTATTTATTGGCATTCTTGTGGAAGACATTGTCGATATATATACAACCCGGCATGCAGAAATATTTGTCCTCACAACTCATCCCCACTTTCCTAGCTAAAGATATTGTCTCCTCGAAGCAATGAAGGCCTGCCCACTCTGCCAGAAATAGATGGTCACGTGTTATGCCAAGTACATGAATATGTAAACCTCGCCAAAGGCTTGATTAAGTGTTTACTTGCACTCCTTTAAAGGTACAGTCTATCGTTGTTTCATTTTGCATTAAGCTCCTTTGAAGCAACAAAATTTTTCAAAATCTAAAGCAGGGTGTCTAAGAGCAAATCTGACAAAGTTTCAGCTCATTCAGTAATATTTCAAGAAAAACAACTTTCTGGGATTTGGATTCCAGATCAAATGTTGCTGAATCATGTTTTCAGTTGCACCCGAACTTTGTGTCTAGGACATGTTTTCACGTTCATTCAAATGGAACTAAGTGTATGTGATGTCACACACTGAATCGACCAATTATAGTAACCGGCAACGCATGTGTGTGTCGTGTCAATGCATGTGTGCACTTGTAATAGCAGTAATGCGTCTTTAGAGGCATTGTTGGAAATAGTCTTCTTTTGTTATTTTCTTCAAATTGACAGCTTGCTGGAAATCAAAGTGTCACAGAGAATCTAGTTCCTTAACCATTTTTAAACCAAGTATGCTTTTTAACAATCATTTCATCAGTTATATTTTGGATAACTGCAAATGATGGACTGTACATGTACCTTTTACATTGAGTGTGGACTCCATGCAGAGACATTCCTTGCCCGACACACTTTTTTTCACAAGAATGCACACATTCCACCTGGAAACATTGTGATCAATTCATTTCCAATATTAATGAAAGGCATTTGTGGCAAGCCTTACTCAGCCACACCTTTCCCTGTACCACAGAGTACTGAAATGTAACATCATTTAGAAATAGAAAGTGCAGTGTAAAGGAATGGAGTATCTGCGCATGTTGGTTCACACACTGGTTCTTGTGCAACTGCCTTTTACACACACAATTGCGCGGATGGCGTTTTCACTTTGGTATTCCATTGTGCCAAGAAGTTAAGAACAGTTCCTAGCTTTATGCCAGTTCAGAAGCTGTGGTGAGTCTACAGTTGTACATGTATGTCAGTGGCTTTCGGCAGTGTCGGAAGTCAGTTGAAAAGGAAGGTTGAAATCAACGCTTTAAAAAGCGCCTAAATCAGTCACAAATGCGACCTAATTTTTGCTAATGCAATCATATTTTCACTATACAGTGGCCATTTGCATTTGAATATAGCTTAAAAACTCGTACAAAATGTACTTGAACAATTTTGAGTATGCTTAAAAATTAAAAAAGCAATGATTATGTACTCAAAATTCATTCCGTAAAAGTAGAAATGGCAGTGCAAGTCGCATCGTGGATTTAAAGCTTATAGTGTGCACTGTATCTTCACGTATACAATACTGTACATGGGTCACGATCACATGCTCATGTTGGTTGGTTCCCGATCTAAACATATGTTGTCGATGCACTGTATGTGGACACCGGGGCCATTTTGCAAACCATGGCATGGGCTCCTTTGTTTGCTGCTTTTTTGGGTGCAAAGTTAATCAAGCCTGAAACAAAGCTCACGCCAGAATTAAAGGGTGTTGCTGTGATTTAGAGTGTTAGAAATAGCATGATTCATGCAGTAGGGTGTCCCGCCACACTCTGAAACTACAGACGTCGTAACGTCCATGGTTGAACCCCTTGGCGAGAACCCTGATTTCGTGGGTGGACCTCATTGGCACTCATGTACATGCATGTACATTTACATGCAAGTTGTGTGGTATACGTGTGCCGGGCCGTGCCGGGTCATGATCCAAGACATGAATGGACGATGTAAACACAGGGTATTTATACTATATGTGTGTACGTACATGTACATGTACATTCATGAATATTCAGCGCACAGGATTACTAAACTTTTGTAAAAGTGCCACTCGAATTTTCCTCATCAGGAGCCAATCTCTACCAAATAATTTTTTCTTCTGTTTAAAGGGTTGGTTGAAATCCAAAAACGATTGCTTCCTTGTGTTGCAGTTGAAGAATGACTCTGTTAGGGGTTCATGTGAGAAGGAAGCTTCATGCTTGTTACATGTAGATTGCCCGTACCAATAACTTGGTCCCACAAAATGAGTCCTAAGTTCATGTTCCTGCTCTTCGTACTTACTTGTTAAGCTGCTAGTAGCTCAAAAATTGTTAAGGCAGCCCAGCATGTGTTGTGAAAATTGGAAACAACAAAATCACTGGAAATTTTTTCTGACAAATTGATATGAACACATATTTTTTTACCCAAAGAGAATTTCTTGTGTGCAGGGTTTTTATCACTTTCAGTGAATTCACAAAACGCGAACACTTTACATGTATGCAAAACTACTGGTTTCCTTACATGAAAAGTGTTAAAATACATGCAAGAAAATTGTGCCATATTAAAGGCAGAGTTGTACTGTAATATGGCTGTAACTGGTATTTCAAAAGTTATAGGATACTTGTGAGATTAGGACATGTACGTGAACAGTTTTGCCATTTTCTTTTTCCATTTTTAGTGTTGATGAGGAAACTAGCTGATGAGGAAAAGCCTTTGTTGCTTCGATTGTTGTGGGGCGGGGATAGCACAACAAAGCGATATGAGTTACGAGAGAATGAAACAGGGCAGATTGAGGTATGTATTTACATGAACGTGGTATTTTTGACATTTATAGAATGATTTTCACACCTGGGGTGAAGCTGAGGTTGGATACAAAGCTGAGATTTTTTAAAATTGGCCTTAGTTTAAACTTGACCAGTGGCTTTTTAGAGCAGTATTACAGAGCACAAGCCTGTGCTGACAGTAAACCTGAGTTCTTTAAAACGAAGTCTTTCCAAGTTGTGGAGACCTAACTTTTATTCTTCTTGTATTGCAGTGGGAGGCATTCACGGTGCCTGAGCTGCAAAACTTCCTACGTATTTTGGACAAGGAAGAGCAAGATCACATTCAGCAAGTGCAGAACAAGTACGTGGTCTATGAGAAACGCCTTCGGGATGCCTTGAATTATATTGATTAGGACTTGTGGACACAAAAGTCTTTTTCAATGCAAAAGTTTGCTTTAGTTTGTGTGTTTGGTATTTATGTTCATTGCTCTGAGGCAACAGATTAAGTTCAAAAGGGATACGTGTACATGCAGAGAATTATTGTTGGGGCCAAATGGTAAAATGGCCTGAGTTGTATGGAAACATAGTAACATTTCCATAACCCTACTCCTCTCAGACGTTGGTGTGAAATTGGGGAAAAGGGGGCAAACTTGGACCAATTTGGGATGGGTGAGAAGATATGCAAATTTTGAATTTTTGAACAGCTCAGAATGGAGAGCAAACAGTGCAAAAACTGCGAGTAAACTGTGTTGATTTCAGGTTAGTGCACGTAACATGCAAAACGTAAGATGAACATCACAAGCTTTGCAATGTGGTGTCCAGATCTCCCTCCCCCCCAACCACATGGATTTTTGCAGGAGTTTTCCCAGCGTTTCGGAAGGCACATGTAGAGCACAGCCACCACCACGTGTACTTTACATGGAACTAAACTTTGGAAGTTTAATACAAGGACTGCACCATTGGGTTGTTGCACAGTAGGGGATATGGGAGGAGTTTGGAAAGTCCCTAGCCAATGTACACTAAGGGAGTTAGGTTGAAGTATGGAATTGTCTCTTGCATGCTTATTAGGTAGTCATTTATATTGTAACATTAGTATCATTACCGTGCTTGTGTGCCTTGGTAAAAGAGCAGTATGCAGAACATTTCATGCCCAATAGCTGTTTATGCTTAGAAAGTAATTGTAATGATCCAGTTTCAATTATTCTTGAGCTGCAAAAAAACTTACACATTTCAGCATTTTTGCCCATTATTTTGTACGTTTTCTTTATTGAGACCAAGGTAATCGCATGTTTGCTGATTAACTTATTTTAAGCTTTTTTGAATAAACCTGACGTAAACTTGACATTTTAAGTAGGTTTGTGTAACTTTGGCCGTGTTTGTTTCACATGGATCTGGTGGATCACAACCAGTGATCCGTCGTTGATTTACAGACACTAAAACCTGCCTAATGGATGGTGTGAACCAACGTTGAGATCACTAATCAAGATCCAGATCTATGGGAAACTAATACACCTGTTGACTAGGCTGTATTCATTGTTTGATTGTTTGGGCTTAAGTAAAACTAATCATCTAAATAATATTGGTTGAACAGAAGTACATTATAGACAAGGACATAATATTGCCAACAAACCTGGAAGGCCAAGAGAAAGTTACTGTTTTCCAATTAATTAAAGTAAATTGGAAATTTGTTGGACATTTATATGTACATTGTCTTAAGCCAGAAGTGTTTGTAAACTACAGTTCACTTGGAGTGTTTGTATTCGCTTTGACATTTCTCTTTCCAAATTTGTACAAATGGTAGTTGTCTCAGTACTGTTGTCACCTGCTTTGGGGCCTGCATTGTGGCAATGTGATCAGCTAAGTCTGACTAGTCCAATCCAAGCACAGGATCGGGGTGTACACTAGAGGAAAGTGCCCCCCGAATGGTGGAAACATTCTACCAGTTGTTGGATGAAAGAGCTGCCCTGTGATGGGCAGTACAAACAGTAGCTTGCAAAATTCTTAGAAAACTACAAGTCACAGGAGTTCCCTTATGGGTGCACAGTCATCCCATGGGCGGATTTAGTAGCACACACCAGTTACTTTGATCATGAATTGTGAATAAGTGTAGACTATTAACTGACATGAATGTGGCCAAGGATCACATGGTGGTCAGTGATGGTTGGACATGGGCTCGTATACCATTTGGGATTAGCCCTGTAAGGTACATGTTATTGCCATATGTGTCAAGTAAAATGTAAGATTTCATGGAAATAAGTATATCATCAGAGCACAGGTGCATGGCCCATCTCATATCAATAACTTGGTAAACAGCGGTCCCAGAACAAATTCACAGAAGTGGTGTATTTTCCATGTGTTTGATCATTTCACATTGTCCTGATTTCATGACTAATTGGCCCCGACCCTTTGGACACATTTCTTTGTTGCACTGTGTACTTCACATACGGAAACTAATAGACTTGTGTGGTCAAACTCAACATTATTAGTTTTTAATTAGTAAGTTTTCACCACTTTGTAGTGTATCAATATGGGTACCGTAGGTTCCCGTACTCTGAGCATAGTACATGTACATGTATGTGCTTTATATGCATGTACCCTTTCCTAATCACTTTTGATTGCTGTTATCCTGAAGTATTATAAGATCTGTAATATAATCATAAGACTTAGTTTGTAAATATGTAAGTAAGGAAGAGTGTAAGATATGTCAAATGTACGTGTACAGTGGGGAACAATGTCCTTAAGGGAAAAAAGGTTTTATTTAAAATGAGGCTTTGTCCAGTTTAACTTACAGCAAAAGTGGTTATTTTCTGACTTGTAAATGTATGTAAAAATCAATTTGCGTGTTGTTTTCTCATTTTGGTCACTTTTAATCTCACTTCAGATTTGTAAGCTAGCAAAGTACACGTACATTTTTGAGTTGAATTTATGTCTTTTTAGAGCACGGAGTCTGTTGTGCAAGACACTGGTGCTTGCTTGAGTGGAAGAATCAGGCGAGGTGTACATGTAGAATCTTGGTTTCAAGACTCGTATCAGCCCACTGATAACACGACAGTGTCCAGCCTTTCTTGGCGAGGTGGTGAATTTGTAATCCTTAATCTGTTACCTTGTCGTTTCCAAGCCTATGGAAATTTAGTATTTCACTTGCATTTGATTGTTCTATGGTGGGGAAAAAACCGACGGAACAAAATTTGATATCTCATTGGCATTTGTTTGTTCTCTCGAGGGCAAATGTTCCCCCCAGAGCAGCCAGGTGATGTGGCATCACTTTCGGATGGACAACGTCTTCAGGATGTTTGCATAGTGTCTTGGTAGGAAATATTAGCATATATTGTACATGTATATGGAACGCGGTGAGGTGAAAGGTGTTTAGACTGGTTTTTGCTTTCTTTCAAAGTTCAATGTATATTTTAGGAACAGGGAACCAGGGACATTGAGTCTTGAAAAATCCCGTTTTTCTAGAGATGCACATCGAACTGTATACTGTCGACCGTAAAGATGAAACATTCATCGTTTGAACATTCTAAGCCAACAATTGCAAGTGGTTAATTTTCATAGACGAAGCCTCAATGTGGAGACGATGCCGAAATTTGAGAAACCCTCGATGTCAGAGGAATCATCATGAAACTACACAAAAGCAAAACCCTTTATAAACACGGTACAAAAGGTACAAATCTGAGTAAGATGTCATGTAGGTGCATAGAGACTAATCCGATTAGACGCCATAACTGCGGTGGCACCGCACTTACACGCACATTCTTCACTTTGACGCGCGCGTGCATTTGGCAAATCACGACACCCTATTGGTCGAAGAGGCATGTAACGCGCGCGTACCACCTGTCCACGAGCACGTTGTGCCACCGCAGTAATGGCTTCTAATTCTGGTGGTCGAATTACTCTATAAATAATAGTGAACCAAGAAAATACTCCTTCGCAAAATTTATGCACTAAGTAATAGCAGCCAGGAACCAGTTGCTAGAAATATGCAGTGTAGGACATTTTGGCTGGCAACCTTCTTTTGCAAAGTAAATATATTCTTTGCTTAAGTAGTATATTTCTGTGTTTAGCCGCTGTCAGTTGGCCCATGCTATGGTGGAATTTGGTGTGATGTAGTCTTTACATATTAACTGGTACACCTGACAACTGGAAAGGCTTCAATCCCAGACATGTGACTTTTGCCTTTGATTATACTTTAAGGAATCGCAAACCTTATGTTCATCTTTAGTATTGTCAAGAAATTAAAATTTCTGTGTGGATTGATGTTGATGTTGTACTTCTCCGTTTTTTACAGAAGCGTATGTAGGACACGATTAAATTTTGTTCACCCACCAATTCTTTCCCGGCAGATTAGAATTTCGCCGGGGCGGAATTAAAGTTTAAATACAACGTACACAATGCTCTTTTTAAAAAAGGCCAAGTGTCGTCCAACCAAACAGCATCAATTCTTACTTCAAAAACAAATCAATCATCGGTTGTACGCAACTTATTTTGTGTTCACTATTGCCCTTACTGATACTGGCGATTACTACCGGTATCAAATAACAGATGATGGACGCATGTAAACAATTTATGGATGGGATCTATGCTTTGCGACAGCAACCTATCGGAAGTAACTAGTCAAAAAAGTTAAGGACCACCTATTCTTAACTTGTATAATTTCAAGATGTGCAGTAATAGAAGAGACGTTATGCAACAACTGAAACCAACCACGTGAAATTGATTACTGCGTGTTTGTCATTCAGGACTGTTGTATTGGGTCATTTTCAGCAGTAAAACATCTCATATAAAAAAGTATAAACAGAATACAAAGTAGTCTTTAACTTTAGGATATTTTGGTAAATTTTGTCGGGCTTGCAGGAAGGTAAATTCCAAATGAAGGGCAGAGATCAACAAAATTAATGATTCGTTGGCCCAGGGAGGATAAGAAAGATATTCTGGCATGCAAATTTCAGTGGCCCCACATTCCAGTGATATGTTGGAATGGGGATAGGGGTGTTACCAGGACGTACCCCTGTACGATATTCTGTGCCCCAAACTTGAAATACGAGTTCACATCCAAAATTTAAGAGATGTGCCTTTCCACAGATAGACTGTGTCCCCTAATATATTGCACCCATGTGTACCCCTTCAAATGTTACATCTTTTGTTATGCGTCACCTCAGCAGGCCTGTAGGTCACGCTTTCCACAACTGTTCTGTGACTGAAATCGTAAGGACGAAGGCTCGTGTACATTTAATACTGCAGGGGTCTGCATTTTATTATTGTAAACACGCCAGAGTAATAAACAATCAAAGTGACACAAAATGCTCACGAATCAAGAAGTACATGTTTTATGTACGAAAGAAATGGAGGTCATGAATAAACTCGACAGTAAACAGGCTTCATAAAACGAGGATGGATACATATTTTCAGTTTAGAGACAATTTCAAGGGTATAGCTAATTAATATCTCTTTGCAACATGAATATAATTAGCTATACCCTTAAATTTGTAACTAAACTATAGATACATAATAGTTAAACTGAAGACCCTAGACCAGTCTTGGTTGGCTAAATTTGAGTTATACAAGATTTTTCAAGTCCTGCAGAAACAACATAAAGGTGCTGTTAGTGAACCCTCTTATACTTAGCTCCACCACTGATATTCTTGCTCTGATCCTATAAAGCTGGAAAAGCAACGTTCAATAACAGAACAAAGTTACAAGGAAACAACTTTTGCATTCTGGGCGCAGCGATTAAAAAAAGGAAATTCAGTCATTTTATTGATGAAAATATCCAAAATGATTAAAGAGGCGTTTCATAAACTACTTGTTCAAATTCTCAACTTGCAGGTTTTGAAGTTAATCAAAACAAAATATCTGTGATAAATATAGGCCTACCGTAGTTGTAGAAGGAAACCGAAAAGATGCCGCAGAATTTTCATAGCCAAATCACCTTATATGGAAATTTTCACCAATAAAATGACTGAATTTCCTTTTTCTAATCAATGCGCCCGAATGCAAAAGGAAAAATGCGTTTACTTTCGCCGCTCAAACTGCGGATTTTTCGACGCACTTACGCGTATTAAAGTAGGTGCAGTTTAAAGTTAACAGGCCTTGGACAAGTCTCGGTACTGCGCGTTCAGCTTACGAACGAAACCGGTACCCGCAGAAGAGTATTTAGGAATATGAACCCCCACTGTTTCGACTGTGTGGATTATTATTTTTGCATGGGCGGATTACACTAGCGTGTTTCACTATTTCGACGGTAAACCTTGAGAAATAGTAATCCATTCGGTGAAATACCAATCCACCTGGGCGAAATTGTGGGGGAAAATTGGTCGTGTCTTAAACATATATTGGAGACCTCAAGCAAAGTGCAATGGAAGACGTTTTCTAAGTATGGTGCCTGATATCAGCAAAAGTGTGAGACCAAGTAATGCACCTTAAAAAATGAAGAAGATCACATACCCTCGGGCCTTTTTGCATAATACTGTGGCGGAACAACTGACACCTTTTTGTGGCAGACCAGCAGACTGGCCTGATCGGAGATAGAATTGAGCGGCTATCAGTTAACGAACGGTGGACTATGCCTTAGGGGCTGTTCGTTTGGTGGAAGTTTACCACCGCTCTGTGATTAGGTAATTTGATCCCAATGCCAGAAAGATTACAATAAATGTCAATAAGTGATACAGGACTGAACTAAATCTCACGGTGACGAGTGATTTCCAAGGCAATTATATGATTGGTTTATTCAATGTCAGTGCTCAGTTATCCTCTATATACAACAGCAATTAACTATGCACAAAATTACGGGGAGGTAGTCCTACGTGGTCAAATGCACCACGAACGTGATTAATCAGCCTTATCCTTAACCTACACCAGAATAATCCTCACGGTGATCAGGGTAAACCTCACAGCGATCAGGGTAACCCTGACAATAACCAGGTAACCCACACAGTGATCAGGGTAACCCTCAAGTCTAAATAAATAATCCACCGATGGCTTATAACTGATAAGTCTTGACCACACAAGCAAATACAATCTTCGTAACTGTACCACACAACACAACGGTGTAGACTTGTACAACAATAATCTATACTGCCTTACGAAGCAACACATTTCCCAAACTGCAACAAGGTTTGAGGTGCCTTAAATAACCCTCACCCACTTCAAGTTATTACGAAATAACACAGGTAAGTTGATTAAGAAGGTGATTGTAATAGTCCTCCCCAGACTCTAACGGAAACCTGCATCCAGTAAACCCCAACGAGGAAAGCAAGCTCCCAGACCAGGACCGCAACCAACCGTCGCTATGCCAACAAGCATGGAACAACGGCACACAATCCTTCTAGTCTAAGCTCCGCTAATTCCCCAATTAACTGGTTCACACGGGTCCCTTAACTCTATAATCTACCACTTCTTAAATAAACGAGACTGTCTAACGATTCCCCAATGTTCAAAGAGATCTGATATAATCGGCAGCTCCGGCAACTGCGAACAAGCACCACACTAACCGATCGCACCAGGTACACTTGATGTAGATCCCCAACCACCAGCGGTCGTACGTCAGATTTACACTCGAAACTCATAACACAACACAACACAACTTCACAGAGCTCCAGTTAGCACGCTGCCATCTTGAGAAGTCTTGAGAAGAAGTTTTTAGCATGAATTAGACGCGCCTGAATTATTAATGACCCAGACTTAACACAAGTCTGCGCAGCTACCCTGTTTCGCCACAATACATGACGCTGAGCAAGTATTTCTTGATTGTATACCGCAACACACACCCACATCCTTGCCCTAAAACCCATTCCCCGTTCGAAGTTCCAATTATTGAGTAAATCTTGGGTTTTATGAGGAAGCCTTACGTCAGAAAATGCCACCAAAGGCTTAATAGATAACAATTTTTAATTGTAGTAGCACGCCTTCTTATGTCATAGGACCGTACACAGGGCAGTATGCACCTCAATTTCCCCTTCCTGCATTATGTAAACGGCCCAATACTGGACAGATGTGACAACCTGTTTTCAACTAATTTTACCCAACACCAATAATCAATTAACATGTATGTGATAATTTACAGGAATCAACCCCAGGGTGGTACAGGGTACAAGCAGTTCTCTTCTAAGTCGTCCTTGACTTTCGAGCAGTCACTGGGGTGGGGGGGGTGACGTATGCGTCTTGCATGCTACTATCACCTATTCTGAGACGTCACTGACATTTACCGAGGCTCTGCAGCCTTGCCGACAGAACACCTTCACAAACCCGTCGCGAAACTGATGGTATTTGAGCGCATATACGATAGGATTGATGCTCATGTTGCAGGTTACCATGACAACAGTCCAGTGGTAGAAGTGCCCGGCGAAATCCAAATGGCCACCGAGACTGAAGTACAGGTACAAAATCTGATTGGGACTCCAGCAAATCGCATACACCACAACCACCAGCGCCAACACCTTCAGGATGTTCTTCTCTAATCGTAACTGTGTCCCTGTCTCCGCTCTTGGGTTCTGGTTGTCGTTCTCTGGTGACGTCATCCGCCATTTACGCTTGACCTCCCGGAGTATGCTAGAGTAAGTGAACACCATCACCGAGAGGGGGATTAAGTAGAAGAAGATCACAGTTAGCACACCTATTACCTGCTGCACCCCTTGGCCCTCGAAGCGTGCCAGAAGACAATACCTGCCATAGTACACGTCGGACATGACGATTAGGTAGCTGAGGAGAACAAAGCCGGCCACCCAGCAAAAGGGGAAGAACTTGATCACCCTTCCTGGACTGCATACAGTCCTGTGGTGCAATGGCCGTAAGATGGCGTGGTAACGCTCCAGCGTGAGCGCCATCAAGTTGATAGTAGAGACCATGAAACATGACCACACAGGGTAGCGGCTGAACCAGACTCTGCAGGCGCTCATGGGCATGATGTAGTCAGCAGCCAGGATGGCCTCGGAGAAAAGCACAACCAACATGAGCACTGCGCTGGTCAGATCAATCACGGATTGGTGCAGGATGAGCAAGTTGGTGGCCGTTGAGCGCATCTCCCTCACAGACACTAGAATGATGATGACCAAGCTGTTACCAATGACTCCAGTGATAGCCACAACGAGGTAAGCAGGAATGAGCCAGCTTGGCGAGGCAAGGTGTGAGCCATCATCTGGTAGACTTGTCACGGTGGTGCCGATGTCAGTAGTCATTATCTGAGAAAAAGAGATCACATCTCGTGTCGGTGACGTCTTCGTATTTGTGTTAGGTTCGTAACTCGACAGCTCGTTAGATTTGGTAACCTGTTAAAGTGTGTATGCCTAATAAGCCACACTTGGTGACGTGGTAGTAGGTATAGAAAAAAAATATGCACCTGTTATTCGGTCCGAGATTTTTAAGAATAATTTAGCTGCAATATACACATGAAGCAAACTATGGGACAGAGAGGACCCCCTCTGGTATCTCAGGAATTCTTTTCAGACATCTTGGGGGGGGATGTGGAGTGACAATAGGCTGGAGTGTGTATAGGGATTGGACTTGTTGGGGGTATCCCTCAGCCCCATTTCGTGCCTGGTATAGCAATATATTCATAAACTGCACATATCCGTAGGAATCACTTAACAATTTCACTTTTACTTGCAGAAATGCATGACGTACATTTTTCCCCAACATGCACAATGTCATGACGCGCTCATTCCGAATGATGTTTTGGCCACATAATGTTTTGTATAACCAAACAGAGTGTATTCGATGACTTCCTCGTGACACTCACGTGACTTTTCGCGCTAGCGCTCGGCCCTGGCCCAAGGAAACAACCCGACAAACCAGTTACTTGGCAAATATCTCACAATGCAGTGTAAAAACACGGCAGTTTAGCTGACCCTTGGAGAAGTTAGGTTGGCGCGGTGGTTTTTGCCTCATCTTTCACCTTTGCGGTCTTGGTTCGATTCCCGGCCCGGTCCACATGTGGAGAAATCCTTGGTGTTAACACTAGAAATACTACCCAGATAAATCTGCCCCGGGTAAATTTATCCTCATGCCCAACGGTAAATTTGTCCCCAGAGATACATATCCCTTTGCAACGTCACAAGTCTAGCACCCAGACGGTGTACCACTTTGTTTCAACTTTCGCACACGACACCATGCTCTTTGTGGAATGCTCGTTACTTTGAAACACACAGCAATCGGAGGTGGAGGGATATGTCCTGGACGCGGGTATCCATTGCGACTACGTCGTAAGCGCCGAAGTTGTAATTGTTGTCTGAATGTACAGTGCTTGAAGCCCGTGGCTTGAAACATCTTCAAGTTTTTATGTGCGTTGCGTAAACGATGCGTTCATTTGTTTCTCTTTCACGGACACAAAAATCGACCCCATAAACATTTTGACGGAACGCAACGCTTGGCACTGGTGTTGACGCGCATATTACGGAAAAGCCCCTTTAACCAGGGGCACGTTTTGGCGGTCATAACCAAGAATTGGTTCGGTTGTTTCTCTTTGGTTAATCGCTTTGAGGGTTTGAGCACTACATAGGCACAGATAATTCTTTCCCAATTAAAAAGCTCTAAAGCTGTAAAGAATCACAACCGAACCAGTTCTTGGTTATGACAGCAAAACCGCACCCAGAACAACTTTATAGGATCTCCTCTGAGCCGTCGTTTTCTTCCTCTTTTAAATCGGCCATGATAGCTATACGGCACACCGCACCGGCCGGAAGATTGAGAATTAGTACGCATGCAAGAAGTCTACAGAGTATGGATTGCTGCCTTTTCCCGATTTCTTGCTGAAACATAGCTCGATCGATTTTTACATCTGACATTTTGACAACTTGATGAAGGTCTAAAAATCTGCATGTATATCATTTGGATTGAATTCATTAAACCAGTAACACGAAAATAACAATTTCTGCGTGGCAAAACGAGGGGACAACATTAACTGGAAATGACCTGGAAGGAGACTGATTTACCAGCGGGGGGAACAGTTGTACCCATGTTATTCTTCCCCCCAGATAGTTTTACTGGGGGGACAGATTTACCGTCTACGCCGACAATATCGTTCCTTAGTCTCCTTGTTCAAGCGCGTTTGTTTTCACTTCAAGTGCTTACTTGAAAAGAGATTGTACAACTTTGTACATATTCAGATTCAGCCACCTGCAATCGATGGATTGTACTTTCAGTCGAGTTAACACGACACAGTTCGTGTCAGCAAAGGTAAGTTTTAACAGCATCTTCCGAAACGAGGATTATTCCTTTAAGTTTATTTCCTTATTGTAAAATGCTGAAATATTTTGATCTGTTTTTATTGTAGCTTTCACAGAACGACTAGCATAAAATATAATTTCGTAAATGTTCATCTGCTTACGAGAGCACCGAATGCAATGGTCTTCATGTGTTTTAGATTTTTGAAAGTTTTTGGCAGGATATTTCTCTTTCAGGTCAGGTAATTTTTCAGTTTCTATAAATTAATATGCTAGCAAATATCTGACAAAGGCCTTTTTTCCGAGGTGGTGTTTTTTCCAGAAGTAAATGAACGAATAAAATTGCCAATTCTTAAATTTTTGGAGGTTACGTTTCCTATGGCGTTCCTGAAGTGCGCCACCAGTGGTCAATTTTCGGGCTCAATATCTAACCTGGTCCATGAACATGCATGTTTCAGCTTTGTTAATTAGTTAAACGTTTTCGTGACTTTGGTTATGCCCTGTATAACGTCATTGCTCAGACCGAACGGAACCAAAGGTTAGAGTTGGTTCAGCAGCGGTTCAAAAAGGCGGAATATAATGAGACAATATTCGTCACCCCTCAAATAAATGAATAATTATATTTACTTAAGAGCAGCAGTGGTAAAAAAATATACCAAATGGGGAGTGAAAATGACGTCCGTCACCAAGGTCATTGCTTCCTGGAACTTTGGCTCTGTCGGTTTACGTAAATTCTTTTTTTTTTGTGGGCCGCCTTGAATATGTTCCTGGTTTTTGCTGTAAGGTCACAAACTTTTCTGGTCATGGCTTGCCAAAACACCACCCAGAACAGCCCGGCCAAACGTGCACATTCAGAACCAAGCTTCTGTCAAGAATGTGGACGTCATACCCGCAAGACCAATTAGATGGCAGTATGTTAACGAGCAGGCTCTAGTTTTGGCACCAGACGGCTTTTGGCGTGACACCAGTCGCTTGCCCTTTCGTTTGACTGTTAAATTTTTCAAACTTTTTAAATGCCAATATCATAGCCCTGATTATCATACTTCATGCGTCATACACTTATAAAATAATTCACAAAATTGACTCCGCGGTTATACATGTGTTGCCTCAATTACGAGCCATGCTGTTGTATTTCGTTCTCTCGCTGTTTCTTATCACGCCTCTTTTAGCAATTAATTTCATATCATCGATTATCATGCTCAGTCATCGCGTGAACGAGAATACTGAGCTTATTTTCACTAAAAACGAAGGAAAAATCTTTAGCTACTGTACTAACATAAACACAAAGGAATTCTTCCGGAACCTGCCACCGGATCGCAATTTTTAAAAAAACGTTCGGGAAACTCGACTTGAATCGAGGCTCTCGAGGACATAGTGTGTTTTAAGGGGTAGTAATCTCCGACAATTCAACATGCATGGGAAGGTTTCATGAGGCATGAAGACTAGTCTTAGCTAAAGACTGACAATAAAACAATTTTCCCATAGGAAAGTGGATGCCCCCCAAGACAGTTGTGTAATGATGAAGCACGCTATACCGGAGACTTCGTTCGATCAACGTCTAAAATACGTCTGGAGACTACGTCGGGAACGGGAACCAGTCTAGACGGTGTTGGAAACCAAGTGTTCAGTTGCGTTCCCAATATTATGTTTAAAAGGCGATTTTTTTTCTAATATTCAAAAAGTACAATAAATACCAGGCAACCCGACTGAGTTTCGTAAGATATTCCGGCAGCTGTGTAGCCTCAAGGGTCTTGCAAACTGTCTCGGCGACTGAATCCGTCACCGTGTTGCGGGACCTTAGATTTCGCTGCGTGCCAGAAACCTCATCTGAATACAGAAGTTATAAACAAGGTCCATACTTGAAGCAAGTAGCCACTCTTTCCATGTGTATATTTCAGTAAAAAGAAAGGGTCCATTATTTGTACTACTCCCATAAAAACCCTTTCCCTTGGATATTTTTCATGTAAAGGCAACGAGAAACTTGTTTGCACCAGTGTTATAATGTCTTAACCGAACGTACCATTCGTACCTTTGAAACTCGTACGTATGTCATGTAGACCTATATCGTACGAGGAGTTTTCACTTTTTATATGAGAGGCACACGTCAACAATTCTCACGCTCATCAGTCGGGAGCCTTATTCAAATTGATGTTAGTGTTCCTGTCTAAGTTGAATCAAATTCTGTGTGACCAACGCAACGGTGGCTTCAGGCAGATTCAGTGTACCTATACCACCACATTCTTCCACTAAAAGAGCTTTATTTCTTACTTATTCTGCATTATGATGTCGTCATTATGGAATCGATCGTGGAATAGATATGGTCCATTAGTAACAAAAAGAGATACACTAGGAATGAAAACAACAATTATGTACAGACTACAAAGACAATGCAGCTGTTTCACTAACAAAACTACAGTTTTATTTAATAAGCCTCTTGCGAGAGAAATTTGAATAAAATCTGCTACACTGAGTTAACTGATTGCACATAAACATGACGATTTGAATTCCCCAGACAAGGACACTGTTGCTATAGCGTCCACAATTTGCAATCATATCGTGTTTACACTAAAGAGTCTAGGAGATGCATTTTTTTGAGGAATATATTTTGTGCAACGTTGTACCCTTCTTATATTGATTGAAAACCATCGTCCCTCCTTTTAGTTAATTAACTGCCATGAACTGAAAAAAATGCCAAGGCACGAAAAAAATCTTGGTAATATTCAGTATTCTGACAATTACGGACAGCATTGAAAACAAATTCACCATTTTATTTAAATTATTACAAACGAGAGCACTCACCAGATATCGTTTGATAGATGGTGTCGGTGTAGGCCTACGCAGTCTGCAGGTGAGCAAGTCTGAATTGAGCAAACGGACTCTTACGTCATGGAAGCAAGGCACACGCACGAACTTTGACAGCGTCGTTTAACAGGTCTTCCAAAACTGCTGCTTTTTATATTGCGCAGCCAAGTCATGGAAACCCCACCCATCGACTCAGCATTTCTGCGCAGATTTCGTGCCTTTTTCCCTCCAATGGTTTGCAAGAGCGAAATATCACTGTTGGAGTCAGATTTGCCCATGTACTGGTATTAACGGTGAAACAAACGTAGAACTAACTTTGTATGCTTTATAGCTGCACAAAAGCAGAGTGCAGAAGGCACACACATGCGCACGGTGGCTGCCACTAACAGAACACGATAAAATTATACGACTAGGTCTAGAGCAGGAAGCAAGGTAGAACAGATTAGAGGTATCAATCGGTGAAAATAAGTCAATTCATTGCATGAAGTCTGAGAGTTTCGAAGAAACTATCAGGGATGCATGCTCCTGGACCATAATCAATGGAGCAGCGTAGGACCGCTGATAATCAACACATGCGGCAGAGCTTTCACGGTTTTTGTACGCAAATGATAAACCCTAGCAACCGGCAATCACTTTTACCGACGTGAAATGCAGAGTTAAATTTTTTTTTGGGGGGGGGCACATGGAAAATGCTTATACTGCCACCTTTTATGATTTTGTCCCCCAAAAGTTTTCACGTCTTAGGTCCTCGTAAAAACCATTGAGAGACGGCAGTAGCATAATAGGATAACATTTCTCAGGGAGAAATGCACACATTTTTTCAAGAGCCACTAAAGCAAAGGAAATGTGACTTGTACGGTTTTTACGTATAGGGCCTATATAAATTTATCAAAGGGGGCTCCGGGTACAGACTTCCGCTGGGGAGGCAAGTACTGTCCCCTCCCCGTAATTACGTCACTGGATATGTCACACTAAAAACGATAGACCTACGGAATAATGATGTCCCGATTTATTTACACTTCCAAACGGCAGTGACGTGTACAGGACACGCGTATTACTGATCACAGATTAACTGCATCCTACAACGCTCCATGGGTGCCATCCACTTCAAACTGCGACAATTTATCACGTCATGTCGACATAATTATCATAGGGGAGACTATAGCGACTTACCACCAAAATAATCTCAACAAATCGACTTTCCAAAGTCTATATGACGATCAAGTTGTCGAGATGTATTTTCTCGCCAAGTCGACTAAATGATGTCGACATATGACAACTTGATTAAATATAATTATCTCCTAAGTCGACTTCCTTGCAACTTATTCACATCCCTTATGTTGCCAAGTCGACTTGAGGAAGACGACAAGACAACTTGCAGAAAAATTAGTGCGGCCTAATCATTAGTGCGTGGGGACGAAGCGCTACCACTTGCAACCTAAGTCTACTTGGAGAGGAAAAAGTTGTCATGTCGACTGTGGGAAGTGGACGAATAATACATCTCGACAAGAGGCATCATGGCCTTATGGCATTTTGCGTTTTTAAAGACGGAAACCACAGTGGAACGCCGCTATACCGAACACCGCTATACCGCTCATTTGGCTGTAACGAACATCGTCCCTGGCTCCCAATATTTTGTGCACAAAAACAAAACCTATCAAACATTTTTGTAGTTGCAAATCAACTGAGATTATTTTGCCACAGCATGCATCTGAGATTGATCCTGAGCGGTAGCTTCACGACTTTTAGGATAAACTCGATATAAGTTTTTTGACACAAGTTTAAATAAAAAACAAAAATAATTAACAGATACATTTCTAGAGACCTTAAACTTGAAAGCAACGGCAAAACATCCCGAAAACAGCGAACCAAGGTATCACAAGAGGGTGCACTTTGGTTAGACAAGAGAGGGCGCTATTCAACATGGCAACGAAAC